GGGAAAAAAAAATGCTGTTTTGGTTTGGGGAATTTAAACTATTGCCATTTAAAATTGAAGATGCCAGATATAACCGTAGTTAGTACGGTCTGCTTCACAGCCGGCTGGTTCGGTGTCAGTGACATGTGATCAGGACTCTTCCCTTCCTCGACCTGGCCACAGTCACAACCTGGACCTCCCACAGTGCCGTGGGGCATCCAGGAGAGCAGACGTCCAGAACGTCCACCAGTCTTCACCTCGTAGACAAACCTCGTTAAAGCAGGAGGCAGAAATTCTGAAAGCAGAAAGCGGAAATTCTGATGAGTTTCTCTCAATCTTTTGGGACTCCTGCCTAACCAATCCCTGCAGCATTTGGCCAGTTGTGTACCTGTGCTTGAGGAAATCCCAGTCTTAGTCACGATGCTGCAATAGAGACCTGAGCTGCTGGTGTGTGAGCCAAGGGCTCTGATTGAACCAGGAAGGACTGTTGGGAGAGTGCAGTCACTCCAGATGTCCTGAAACGGCCATAGTGTTTCATGTTCTACCAGTAGAATTAAGTCATCTCTTATTCCCACAGCTACTAACCTGCTCCGTTTGGCCGTTTTATTTGACTTTTATTTATAGATTTATTTTCTTTCTCAACGTCCATGTAACTCTCTTATTTGTTGATTTGTTCATGTTGTGCTAAAGGTATTGTGTAATGTGTTACGTCTATACTCGCCTGCAAAGCAAATTTCCCGTCGGGGACCGTGAAGGAGTTAAGCGTTGGTAGGGTGGCTTGCTCCACCGGGCCCCTTCTGGTGTAGCACTGCCCCCCGGCGAGGGTGTTCTGTCCCCAAATGGAGGTCAGAATGGATTCATCTTGCCTGGTCAATCAGGTTTCCACCAGGGCCTGAGTTTGTCAGCTTCTAGGTGACTTCCAGCTTCCCAGAGAGCCCGAGATTTCACTCGTTTAAACTTCTTGCTCTTAGTATTATTTAATTTAACTTCATATGCAGTATAATGTCGAAGTTAGCACCCACAGACAACGTTTCCTTACTGGGGCTCGTAAACGGGGTATAACTGCTCATGTTGTACATATAAAATAGTTATGTAGATCTTTTTGTTTCTGGCAAGAAATACATTTAAGCTTTACGGGGTGTTATAACATATTAAAGGTAGCAGCGACAGAAAGCGATGATTCCCTTATTGCTGGCTCATCAGTAGTCCATAGCTACCTCTGTCCATCCATTCACACATTTTGTAACGGCTTCTTCCCGTTTAGGAGCAGGGGTGAGACTATCCCAGGAAGCAACAGGCGCAAGGAAGGGTACACATTGGACATGATGCCAGTCCATCACAGGACACAGACGCCCTTACACCAGGGCCAACTTTCCCAGAAACTGCTTGACCTAACAGCAGCATATTGGATTGTGGGAGGTAAACACAGTCTGTTGTTGATACCCATGCAAGTGGGAGGAGAACATGCAAACTCCATACAGACAGCACCCCAAGTCTGGAATTAAGCCTAGGGCACCAGTGCTGTGAGGCAGCAATGCTGACCACTGTGGCGGTGTGCTGCCCTATGATGTTTAGAAAAGATTAAAAATAAGCCATGTGCCTCTTCAGTGTGTGGTAGTTGTGGCCTGATTTCTGTCTTCTGTACCCTGAACTGGAATGCTCCAACATGATCCTCAGCCTGAGTGTTTCTTCTCTCATTTCGCCTTGGGGAGTCGTTGCTGCTCAATCCAATAAAATTTGTGCAGACCAATCCTGTCTTTCCCTGAGCTAGACGAGTCACCCCAGCTTGTGCTCAGCAATGATGTCATCCACGGCTCTCTGTGTACTGATTGGCTGTACCCCAGTGCTGCGCTCAGCACTGAAAGAGCCCTGTGGGACAGCTTAGCACAGTGACAGAAGCCATTGGGATGCAAGTATTTGGCATTTGGATAGTGGGAGGGATTAGGTGTACTGTTAGTGCTCAGGGCTCTGAACGCTGGAGCTGAAGGGCATGGGATCATATTCCAGGAGGAACACTGGTTTCACTTAAATTGCTGTAGTAAATTCCCTGAGTCTCCAGTTCACCAACGTACATTCAGGTTAGTTTTCAAGTGGGCTTTCCTGGAATAATAAAGGAAGAAACGTAAAAGGATCATCTCGATTTCAAGATCAGATTAGTTAGAAGCACGGCCTATATCTATTGCACAGCCCTCAGTGCCCACAGTGATCGGGCACCAAAACAGAGCGCCGGGCTCCTGCAGAAAGCGGTTGGGCAGGTTTGGAAAGCAGGTGGACTTTCCTCCCTTTCTCCGAGAACACCTGAGGTGCCCCAGTTGCTCCGAAAAAAACCCGCAGTGCTGTCGTCCGTTTGAATCCGATCAGTGCGAGAGGGAACAGGCCGGTGCCTGAATGAGTTACAGGCACTGTACTCAAGCGCGAGATGGGGCGGCGATTACGGCGAGGCCGGCGAGCGGCCGTCACGCATCGCTGGCCCAGTAAAGATGCGCGCGGCCCGGCCCCTCACCATCGCCGACAGTAGTGCTTTGTGTTTTGCGATCGGGGTTTTGCACGGGAAAGGTTATCTTGTGTTTATGTGGTTTTGGGTCAGAACTACAATACGGAGAAGCGAGGGAGTGCGTCCGTAAACGCAAATAAGGGTGCTATTTTTAACCGTTTTGACATTAAACTTCATAGGAAAAACCTGTCTGACTTTTCATAGACTTGACACTAATATATTCATGTCATGCATATTCATATACATAAAATAGTACTACAGTGCAACTTCTTCCAGTAGCACTGCTCATATGAAGTCTAACGCCTTTCACATTTTAAAAGTACTATTGATTTCTTGCAAATCGTAATTTAAAAGATTTTATCCATTTCTGTTGGTGGAAATGACAGTCCAACCCCAGTGGCTGTTTCTGGGGTAATGAGCTGTCCAGCTCGTTGAAGATAGGCGGTGATGGACAGAGATTTTGATTTTTATGAACTTTTCTTTTCTTTTCACAAATCAGTACCGAGGACAGATAGAGATGAGCTCGGCACTGGCCTGGTTCTCACGCACAAGTCTGGCTTCTCCCCTTGTTGTTTCGGCTGCCCTCCAGGAATCCATGCCAGGACCTGGGTGCAGGTCTTTTGCTGGTTTATTTTGAGCTTATTCTTTTTTTTGAGTCCTTGGTTTTGAAAATCATGTACTTTAACCGGAATATTTTAACAGCTGCAGCATTCAGAATATTATTCAGTCTCTCCTTGCTCATTAAGAATTTGCTCCCTTATTAGCTCTTAATAGAGAGTCCGATCTGTGAAGAGAATGACAATGTACCAAACACTCCAAGCATGAAGCTTTTTTTTTTCTACTTCACTCTGATGCATTTCAGCTAACTCAACTAAATGAGCAAAGTTGTGAAACCGAGGAACTGGCACAGGACCGAATGCAAAAACACTTATTTAGGGAAGTGCTCACGGCGAGGGGGCGGGGCCGCTTTGATACCTGCGCGCCTGATGTACTTCATTAACATATAGGGGGCGGGGTCGTTGCTTTTCCGCTGGTCTGATTGGTGCTGGGGCGTGGCCAAGGTGGGGCTGGGGGGGCGGGTCCTTCTTGTCTTTAAAATCTCCAAAACAATAAGGAAACAGCAGTGCCAGCTCCAGCTCCCCGGAGTTTGACAGCGGCAAACAGCCTCCTTCTCCTCTCCCCGGAGCGCACCGTGGATCCGTGCCCCCGCGCGTTGCTGGGTGAGCTGCCTGATTAATTGCGGAGCGCTCCGGCCGAAGAGCAGGAGATGTCCGGCTACAAGACCAACATGCGGCTGCGGCTGCCCGTCACGTGCATCATCCTGCAGGTCATACTCATCATCCTCTTCGCTGTGGTGGTCGAGTACGACTACGAGACGGACGCCAAGAAGTGGCACCAGTACCTCAGGAAGCACAACGAGTCCACGAACATCGAGAACGACTTTTACTACCGATACCCCAGTGAGTACTGAGGGGGGCTTGAACGCAGGAGGGCTGGGCTGACAGGACAGGGGTGGGGGCTCTGGCTCTGAGGGCTCCTGGAGGGGGGTGACTTTGTACCCTTTTTCACGGACTGTCCACATGCGGTGTGTTCCGTACGCTCTGCCCTGAGAGCGCGTTTGCAGTGAGACACTCGCACGCAGGCGGGGTTCGCCGGCTACAGTTCTGAGAGAGTTGGCGCTGGGCTCGGAACATACACGGTAAATGTAGGAAAAGCGCTTCTGGAGAGAGCGAGCGGTTCCGTACAGGAATGCCAGGCCCTGGGTTGTTTGTTTTTCCCGGGGGATGTGAAGAGTTTATTGCTGTGCTTGCTGCACAGTAGGTTCCGTCAGTCAGCATCCCGCTTCACTATGTTTTTTCCCACGCCTTTACCACATTTACACTGCACCTTTACTACACTTTCACTGCGCCTTACTGTACGTTACTGCGCCTTATTGCACTTCACTTTTTACTACACTTTACCATGCTTTTACCACACTTTCATGAGACCTTACTGCATCTTTAGCACACTTTCACTTCACCTTACTACACCTTTACTACACTCTGTTGTGCCTTAGTGCACTTTACTTCGCCTTTACCACACTTTACTGTGCTTTGCTGCACTTTACTATGTTTACGACGCTTTCCTGTGCCTTACTGCAGCTTGCTGTAGTTTTACCACACTTAACTGCGCACTCGGATTGTCAGCTTACTCTTTTTGTGGTGGTGTACCATAGTAAATCCTTACTGGTGTTGATCTTCTTTGCCCTGATTTCGGAAGACCAAGTGAGCAGTCAAGGGCTCGTGTGCTTCTTGAAGACAGTATCCCGTATTCCTGCAGGATCTCGACTGGTCAGCAGGCTTGAATTTCAGTCATGAAAGGACACTAAGGACAGCTTGAGGGGTGTCTTTCAATCATCAAATGTCTCATAACTCGCCGGTCTAGGGCTGTAGCAGCTGCGCTGTTGAGTTCCCACAATATTTTAAATGACGTCATTAAAAGTGTGTTATTTCAATGCCTCACACACACACATGGGATAAGAGCCCATTCTCCTGGTTTTCTGTACATCGGATTACTGAGCTTCCCAAGTAAAATCATCTAAACCCGTCAGCACAGTATGGCGCCCCCAGGTGTGTCTGTCCCTCAGATGTCCTGACCGGCCCATCTAACATCAGGAAGGTCAGAACTGCAGATTAAATTTACTGTTTGTACTGTACTTTTTTCCTGACTTGTAACAGTCACAAGCAATAACACTGGATACAGTTCCTCAATGTTTTCTGAAAGGCAGCAGCTGCAGTTAACAGACATGTGAACTGCTATATTATCGGCTGTTTTAAGCAATGGTGTGTTCAATAACTTAGATTAGATGCAATTGATGTATTTGCTGTATAGCAATGGATAGAAATCTGAAAAATTTGATCTATAGTTTTTTTTTCCTGTGCTGCTTGTGCGGTATGCATTTGCCTGAGGTCTTCATGCTTTTGTAGATCCTGGGACCCGCCATCCATTTTCTAACCACCAGAGCCTATCCCAGCAAGCACCGGGGCGCAAGGCAGGACACACCCTGGATGGGACGCCAGTCCATAGCAGGGCAGACAGCCTCAGACACACACACTCACACCAGCGCCCATTTTTTTTCCCAGAAACCAAATAATCTCCTAACACGTCTTGCTCCTGTTACTTCCCACAGTCTTCACTCTTTGGAGTCAGGAGAAACTGGAGCGCCCGAAGGAAACCCACGTGAACACGGGGGGGGGGGAGAACATGCAAACTCCACACAGACAGCACCCCTGCTCCCGACTTGAACCATAGGGCCCCAGCAATGCTGACCACTGTGGCTCTGTACCGCCACATTGATGTCTCATCAGTAAAATAACCCGAGCAAGGGGTAGGAGACGTGTTGAGAAACGGTTTGACGTGCATGCTGACCTGAGGGTTGTAAACCTGGTTCTAACATCGCTGAAGGACGTTTTTGCAGACCGTGTTTTATGCAGGCTGACTTCGGATCCCTAGACAAAAGCCAATTAAGGATCTGGGAAATCCGAACGGAATGCGCTCGGATAAAGGCGGCGCTGTCGGGGGTTTTGGAGCCGAGAACTGAGATATTTAGTGTTTTAAGCGTTGAAAGAGCATTGAACGAGCTACGGTCCGAGAAGTCTTCATTTCGACGAGGGAAAACACCTCGCCAGTTTTAAAGGGTAGAAAACAGCGAACAGCAGAGCAGGCAAGGCGCGTCTCCGCTCCCCTCGCCTGCCAGAGAGCTGGGAGGAGGGCTGCAGAGTTTTGCAAGCGTGAGAGTCCAGGGGAAAGCTTCGGGGCAGGGGAGGGCGATCGCACTAGAGAGGACAAGGCGGTAGAGTACGATCTTGAAAAAGGACGGAATCCGTCTGGCTGGCGGATAGCCGGTTAAAGGTCTTCTTGAAGTCATAAAGAGGGGTAATATTTAACCACACCGCTGCAACAGCACTTCCTTGCCGGGGTGCTGCCGCCTGTGAAGTAATCGGGCAGAAAGAACGATAGACTTGGCAAACAAAAAGCGCAGCCGCAGCAGGAATAATGCGGGCGCGTTAAATCGGTCAAAATTTAAATGCAGACGAAAATCGCGCCGTCTTTTACGTCTTTGCCGGGGATATTCAGTTACTTCGTCCCCTGGCTCAGAAACAGCTGGATTTTGTCCTCCACGGGTGAAAGGAAAAGATACAGTCCGTCCTGATAGTATTCTGGGAAATAAGTCATTTTTAAGATAGATACAAAAATAGTTATAAACCGCCTTCACGTCATCTCAATTCCTTGTTCTCGCTCGGTCTTTTTTATCGGGCGGGGCGCTGGCTCTGTGGCTCAGGCCCAGCGCCTGTGGCTGGCGGGTTACCGGTTCGAATCCCGCGGCCAGCAGAGGAGTCCTACGCCGTTGGGCCCCTGAGCAAGGTGCTGTGAGGAACAGGAGTTCCTCATCCAGACCCTTTACGAGCTCAAGAACGGCGGCCATCGAGTTCGATGGGTCATTAGTAGTTGATTGATCTGAAGATCTCATGCAGTACCTTGAAAGAAGCCAGAGTATCAACCACATGTCTGGGCAGCTTGTTCCACACCCCCACCCCCCTTTGTGTAAAGAAGTGCGTCCTTTTTTTTTGTTTTGGTCTTGCGTGCTCTTCCAAGGAAGGATAAAGCGGTTATTGAAAATGAGGGGTGTGTATGTATAAATACAGAGCTTGTAATGAACCATTTCCCTCAAACGTAACAATAATAGAGGTGTTATTGCACGCTTTCTTCTTTCGGAACAGTCCATGCGGGTGAAGGTATGTTTTTTTTAAAAAGAAAATCGTGCTGTTTTCACATCTCCCTGTTGATAAGCAGTGCAAACCCCCATTTGCCATGGATGAGTTTGTGCAGGACGTGCTGTGTTTCTGTACAAACACAGCTTTAGGCCGCCCTGTGCTGGTTCAGTTCACCTGCTGTCTCAATCCCCCCCCCCCCGGCGCAGGAACAGGCGCGTCACCAGGTTCTCTGAGATCCGCGCTCCTGTCACCGGGCTGGTCCACGTAGGTGCGCGCTCGTTCCGCAGGCTGCGTGGGCCACTTCAATCAATCAATCAATCAATCAATCAATCAAGGTTTATTTATCAAATGCACAACAATACAGCATACAGCGATGAAATGCTTTACCCGCAAGCTCGCAAGGACAGATAGGACAGAAGGTGATAGAATTAAGGATACAGAGTAGAATATTAAGTACAATAAATTATACAACTTACAAGATTTAAGATAAGATCACTTTATTGGCCCTATACAATTTATTGTATTAGGAATGTGTCTTTTCTCAGACCCCAGCTTGCTCTCCATGAGACACACAGACAGGGAGAGGAGCTTGGGTGTCAGAACGCAGGGTCAGCCATATGTACGCTGGGGTAAAGGGCCTTCCTCAGGGGCCCAACGGAGTAGGCTTCCTCTGTCAGCCGCGCGATGCGAACCGGTAACCTTCCAGCCAGATGCGCGGATCCTGACCCACAGAGCCACGGCCCCGCGTTTACGTCTCCGTTCCGAGTCCGGGCTACGACCTTCCCTGACTTCGACTGATCGCATCTCAGCTGCGCGCACACGGCTGCGGGCTGCACGCCCTGGCCAGGTTCGCTGTGAGCTCGCGGACGGACCGCCCCGCCCCACGGTGCGCCTGTGCGCGCTTGCTCGGGAGTCTGTAGCTGTGAGCGGGAGAGAGGGTAGGCTCACGGCGCACGTTTTAACCTCTGCCTCATTCGGAAACCCCAGCTTTCAGAAGTCTTCTGCCCTAGCTATAGCCGTGACACACCCGCATATAACCTGTCTTCCACTAGCACGTCAGCACCTCTTGTAGAATACCACTTATAAACAAGCTCCAGAAAACATAAACATATGTTTAAACACAAACATCAAATCAACCAGAAACATTTCAAGTAGAAACACTCCGCTTTAAGCGCTTCTGGATGACTTGATGTTTTTTGTTTTAAAATGGGTGCCAGTACTGAAGAAAATGACAGGATTTATAGTTTTTGTTTTCACTTTTATAGACGTCTAGAACGCGCGGGGCTTTGAACGGGATTTTGGATAGCGATGACATTTAAATAAAGCGCAAGCTAAATCTCGCATCGTACGTTTGTGATTGTCAACCTGAGACGCCGTTTTTCATCCGTGTGACGGAACAAGTACAGGTTGATTCCACGCCGAGAAGTAGAAAAGGGAAACGCAACGTTTCGGTTGCTGAGTCTTCTTCAGGTGTGTCTTCACTTGTCCCTTAGGACGTTTCTGCGCTGACGCAGCTCAACACTCGAACCTTGTGTCAGTCTGATGGCGGCTTGGCTCCGTTTGTGCTTAACTGGGGAAGGTCTTCCTTGTGCGCGAATCCAGGACAGCCTGCGCTCCCACTCCGGGATGAAACCTCGGCGCGTGGGTTCGTGGAGCCGTGTGTTTTTAATCTCGTGATGGAGCGAAACCGCCTGTAGCTCAGAGCTGTGTCGCCTGGCAGTTTCCAAACTCGCGTAGCCGGAGGCGATGGTCGGCGTGTGTGAAACTGCAAAGGAACAAGTAATAGGTTTATTCCATGCTGAAAAAAAGAAGAAAGAGAACACAACGTTTCGGCCGTGGAGCCTTCTTCAGGTGTGTCCTGGATTCGCGCACAAGGAAGACCTTCTTCAGGTGTGAAACTGGGCTGTGTGCCGAAAGGGTATCAATCAGATGCGAATGATCAGTCCGGCAGACTGTTACACGTGTAAAAACCTTAAGAACTGGGCAAAGTTGTTCGACTGGTGCACGGAAACCAACTGTAAATTGCATTAGGTAATTAAAATCTCCTGAGATAAGCACCTAAACAAAATGGCCGATACACCTCGGCGAACTTTAGGAATCCGACTGAAAAATCTAGATGGATAAAATACGGGCCCTCGCCCTGAAGCATAATACCGAACAGCATTAAAACTACTCAAGGCATCTGCAATTTCCAAGCAGAAAGAGACTAAAAAGTGCTGTATTCGCAAGCTGTGGCCGAGCAGCAGTTACAAGGAAACACCTGTGGGATTTAACGGGCCAGTGATCCGTGAACAGTAAACGGCGGTTTGAGAAAAACGCTGGCAAACGGCTCCGAGCACCAGCGAGGCGGAAACGCGCAGCCCAGCCGCCGCAGTACAGCTGGGAAACTCGTTTTCGTCGTTCCTGTCGCTACAAGCGCACAGTGCCGGCGCGATGAAAGCACCCCCGAGGGCAGTTTCGGGCATTACAGCCACAAGACACAAGTGCACCGTGTCACGGATGCATCCTGGATTTACGCCTTTAACGCGGGGGTGTGTAGTGGACGGAGAGGACAGAGACTCTGCGCTAGGTGGGCTAGGCCCACCCAAACAGAGGTCCCCCACCAAACGGGCGGTGATCATTTCTGTAGCTACCCCGGTCAGGGGCGAAACCAGAAGGGTGTTTGACTCGCCACACACCCTCTGATTAAGAGTCCAAAGCCCTGACCGCTACTACGGGCTGTCCAGGAGAGCAGGCCGGGGGTAAAAAGACTGACTGGAACTGCAGTTTGAAAACCAAGTGTTCGATGGCAGATTTCTCGCTTGGAGCAAAACACCGAGACTTGGGTTTGCCGAGTGCAGCTGTAATTCAGCTCTAACCCTCGGACAGCCTTAAAGATAGCCCCTTGTTCAGGAGAATGTCTTTCAGGGCGATTTGAGGTATAACGGCACTGCTCGTTAGGGGCATTTGCGACGCAGAGTTTCGCCAGTGGGTAGAGCTGAAAGAGCAGTCATGTACAGTAGCAGCGCATGTGGTCTGCCGTCTAGACAGGTTTGGATGAACAAGAAAGGACTGCAGGTTAGGAAGACGAAAACCTGGCGGAACCGGTTTGAGTTCGCTGGGCGCTTTGCCTAATGACTGCCCGCGGCAGAACTACTTGACTGCGGATGTAGACCTCCCAGGTCGCGCCTATTGGAGTGCGCGCATTGATACATGTAAAACGTTCCAGCACAGTTTGACGTCAGCTCGGACTGCGGGCGGTCAATCTTTTCTGCACAGTGGTTGTGTTCGAGGGTAAAACACATCAGTGGAGTTTTAAAAATCCGGTTAACAAAATAAAATAAATATTCGAATCCTCCACCTCGAGCACAGATCACATTTTGCCGCTGTGAGAGTCCGCGTCATTGCTTTTTTTCATATTCTTCTGTCAGGCTTGTAGATCAGAATCAAAAAGAAACTGGACCCTAGATGTTTCTGCCAGTGTCAGTGCAGTTTTCTGAACTTTTATTGCAAGTGCTTTTGCACACATTGAAACCCGTCCTGTGTAAATGTAGAGAACTGTGAAGCAGACAGCGGGAAATTCAGTGATGTCACCCAAAAGTTGTATTTTATACGATGTGTTATAGGGTCTGCACAGACGTCACTCACAGATGGGATCCTTAAGCAAACCAGGAAACCAGACCTAAGTATATTTATAGATGGTTGTTGCTGGAAGAGGTCTTAGTGGAACCAGTAGGGGGCGCTCACCCTGCAGTCTATGTGGGTCCTAATGCCCCAGTATAGTGAGGGGGGACACTAGACTGTAAAAAGGAGCCGTCCTGCGGATGAGACGTAAAACTGAGGTCCTGACTCTCTGTGGTTATTAAAAATCCCAGAGTGTTTCACGAAAAGAATAGGGGTATTACCCTGGTGCTCTGGCCCAAATTTCCTCCTAGTCTTTACCAATCACGCCCTCCTAATAATCCCTGAACTGGCTTCATCACTCTGCTCTCCTCCCCACTGAGAGCTGGTGTGTGGGGAGCAGACTGGCACATCATCCAGGTGGGGCTGCACACTGGTGGTTGTGGAGGGGACCACATTACCTGTATAGAGCTTTGAGTGGAGTGTCTAGAAAAGCGCTATATAAGTGTAAGGAATTGTTATTACTGTTGTTGCTATTATAGGATAAAGTAGGTCCACTTTGTACAGGATGCAAAGTTCTATAGAAATGCAAAGAATTGATCACTTCATTCCCTCCTCTGGGCTCTGGGAATTGATCTGACGACAGGGGAACTAGCTCGGTTCTTGAATGTTCAGATCAGCGCAGTCATGCAGAGAAGGAGGGCAGCAGACAGTCGGGAAGGCTGGTGCCCTCGGCGGCCTCTTTCGAGTTGTGCCAGGGCAACAGCATGGCAGAGGCAGCTTGTTGGCCCGCTGCTGGGGCACACTGATGAAAGGATCAGATTGCAGCCCCAGTAAAGGCACACGGGGATGTGTCTGAGCTGATACAGAGCTGGGAGGCCGGTGCAAAGCAGTTGATGCATTTTAGAAAGATTCACTTTCTGGAGCCAAACAGCCAACAACTGTGTGTGTGTGTGTGGGAGGGGCAATCAGGAGTGAGGGTTGCTATAGATGCAGTTCACACTACCTGACCAAAAACACCGACATCAATTAACTGTCCCCAGTGTTTGGTTACGCTAATTGCATTATTTGCCGCTGCAGGTCTGTAAAGAATTTAACTGGGTGATTGACTGGCTGCTGTAGCACAAGAGAAGAGAATTGTTGACCGACCTGACTTGTGGAGGTGTTTGTAGATCAGCTGGCAGGCCAATGTGCACACCCCCCCGAGTGTGTGCTGGCATAATGTGAGTAACCGTGCAGACAACGATGGGAGAGCAGTGAACAAGGAAGCAGAGAGATTTTCTTCCCTTTTGTTTTTAAAATGGCAATTTCAGAATCTACGGAATGTGTTCTTCAAAACGCTGCTCCGGAGTGGTACGTTTTTATTACTTGCATTAGCTTTTGTCCTTGAACTGGCTGCTAAAAAACTTGGACGTGGAGGAAACATTGCTGCTGTGCAATGCTCTGAGGACCACTGTTGACTGGGTTGGGCACCAAATCCGGCAGGAAGCTGCTATAGTTCAGTTGCTCTGTGGTTTCCTCACATTTTATTTATGATGAACTTTTATTAATCTGTTTTGGTGGATTTTATGTTAGCGTGCTAAACATTCACAGCGATAACCAGCAATATCCACGTAGGAGCTGGAAATATATCCAGGGGGGAATTGCAAATCCTTACAGAGAATGAAAGCATAAACCCTGTGGTTAGCCTAAGAACAGCTTTGCAGCTTGTTGACACGACTTTACAGTTCTTTAAAACCCTGTAGCCATGTTTGCTTCCAATGGGCAATTGCTTTTGTACTGCTTGCGTACGAACACAATGTAAGAAGGTCACAACCAACAGGAGCCCTTTCAATCTAAATTGCTCATTTGGTTGTTTTTTTTATGAATCCAAGGATCTTGTCCAGTCTTGTCTTGAAGGATCCCTGCGGCACCAGCCTGGCTGGGCAGCTTGTTCCAGACACTCGCCACCCTTTGCGTAAACAGTACCTCCTGCTTTCAGGCCTAAATGCATTCCCTGTCACTTCAGATGATATACAGGTGCAGATATAGCAACCAGGAAAGTCAATGTGGCCTCTCCTCCTTCTTTGAGAGTTCTGGTGCTCTTATTTCAGTCACAAGAGATCGAAGAGTTCGGATGCAGTGGTTCTTCTTGTTGGAAGTGAGTGGTGTTCAGGTGTCCTGGGCTGCTGGAGCTCGGTGACAAGTGTCCCAATCTCTTTGCGGTCAACAGGCTTCCAGGATGTCCACGTGATGATCTTCGTGGGCTTCGGCTTCCTCATGACCTTCCTGAAGCGCTACGGGTTCGGCAGCGTGGGCTTCAACTTCCTGATCGCCGCCTTCTCCCTGCAGTGGGCCACCCTGATGCAGGGCTTCCTGCACGGGCTGCACCATGGCAAGATCCACATCGGGGTGGAGAGGTGGGCACAGCGCTGGCACGCGCACAGTACCCACACAGTACACATACACACAGCACCCACACAGTACACATACACACAGTATATACACACACAGTACCCACACAGTATATACACACACAGTACCCACACAGTATATACACACACAGTACCCACACAGTATATATACACACAGTACCCACACAGTATATACACACACAGTATATACACACACACAGTACCCACACAGTATATAAACACACAGTACCCACACAGTATATAAACACACACAATATTTATATATACGCACAATACACACAGTATATATACACACATCGGGGTGGAGAGGTGTGCACAACACTGGCACGCACGTAATACACACTATATATATACTATATACGCTCACAGTATATATATATATTCATACTATATACACTCAGTATATAAACATACTATATATATACACACACATCAGGACGGAGAGGTGGGCATCCACACACACTCAACATACACACACGGACAACAAGGACATGCATGTGTAAGAGGGCTCAGTGCACTGAGTATGTTCCAGAAGAGCTGCACTCAATCCATAACACACACCCAAACGCATGGCAAACACACAGGAGTGCACAGACCGAATACAAACACAGGACCATAATCACACTCAGAATGTACCACATGTACTGATCTAGTCTGTCCAGACCTCAAAGACAGACACTCCAAAGTGCGACTCATTTCTTCTGATCTTGGTGTGGAGAAGAAGTGGGGTCCTGTCTTTACTTTGGTGTGTCTCTTCCCTCCCTCCAGCATGATCAATGCCGATTTCTGCACGGGCTCTGTGCTGATCTCCTTCGGCGCCGTGCTGGGGAAGACCAGCCCCGTGCAGCTCCTTGTGATGGCTGTCTTTGAGGTGACCCTGTTCGCGGTCAACGAGTTCATTCTTCTCTCTCTGATGGGGGTGAGTGAGCCGCTGTCTCTCAGAAGCAGATCCGGCACCACTTCTGTCTTTCCCATGAAAGCAGAGCTGGTCCTTCAATACAGATACACATGACTTTATGAATGGGATGAGAATGGGAGAGAGCTGGGAGTGATTCCTGACTGATCAGCAGGAGAGTGAGAGAGCTGGGAGTGATTCCTGACTGATCAGCAGGACAGTGAGAGAGCTGGGAGTGATTCCTGACTGATCAGCAGGAGAGTGAGAGAGCTGGGAGTGATTCCTGACTGATCAGCAGGAGAGTGAGAGAGCTGGGAGTGATTCCTGACTGATCAGCAGGACAGTGAGAGAGCTGGGAGTGATTCCTGACTGATCAGCAGGAGAAAGAGAAAAGGTAGTGATTCTTGACTGAATATGCTATATAAATTGCAAGGAGTTCATAATTATTCTAATAAATCTCTTGCAAAAAGATCAGCAAGATAAAGGAACAAAGCTGTTACCACAAGCAGTCAAGAAGATGCTTTCTTCACAGCACGTAGAAACGGATGTTATATTTGATACCCGACATCAGAAAGCATTTCATTTTAGAGACAAAGGTCTCCTTCGAGACTACTGCACCGTGGGGGTTGTCTGTACATGAATGCTGTTGTTCCCAGGCGAGGGACGCTGGCGGATCCATGACGATCCACACTTTTGGGGCGTACTTCGGCCTGATGGTCACCCGCATCCTGTACCGGCCCCAGCTGGAGAAGAGCAAACACAAAAATGGCTCCGTCTACCACTCTGACCTCTTCGCTATGATTGGTGAGAAATTGAGCTCTGTGGTTCGTGAGAAATTGAGCTCTGTGGTTGGTGAGAAATTGAGCTCTATGATTGGAGGGAATTGCGGTTTGTATTTTGGGACCCATGATGAGCGCAATGAGAAGTTTTGACATCAAATCCTTTAGGCTTTCACCATACCGGTGTGACTAGTGGCTTATTTTATTGATCTGACTCTATCAAGGCCATCGGCATCCAAGGATTTATCTTCTTTTTCAACCCTCCATTGCTAAAATCACCAGAAGAAAACAGCTGTCAACTAGATCCTCAGTCAGCAATGTCAGGGATAGCGTCACTAAGGGAGCTGGGAGCCATTCCTGATAGGCTGATCCTCAGGAAACACAAGAAGTTAATTGTGTTCTCAGCTTCTGGATTGAACTAATTACTTGACGGGACTCAAATTTTTGTTTGCCCAGGACTGGACAGGGTCAGGCCTTACTAATAATCTTAAGTGGACACAGCAATTGTCTCATGTGTCCACTGTCTGTCTGGTTGACAATTGCTTCTTTGTTCTGGTCTTCAGGTACCATTTACCTGTGGATGTTCTGGCCCAGTTTCAACTCTGCCATCACTGCCCATGGGGACGACCAGCACAGGACCGTCATGAACACTTACTACTCTCTCGCTTCCTGCACGCTGGCCACCTACGCCATGTCAGCGCTGGTCTGTGGGGAGGGCAAACTGGACATGGTGAGTTTTTCATTTCTCTGCTGCATTTCTCATACACCCTGAACACCCCATACATTCTATACATCCCATACACACCTGATACACCTCCCACACACTCACACACCTGATACACCTCCCCACACTCACACACCTGATACACCTCCCACACACTCACACACCTGATACACCTCCCCACACTCACAC